TATCTACGTGTGTATTATCTCTATTCTCCCTTTGGACGGGTTTATCGAGTATGTTGTTCAGAGTGCTCGTTAGCCACTCTTCTAGTAGCCTTTTTATTGCTGGTGGGGCTTCCTCTATTATTGACGTGGAGGCTCCCTTTTCGCGTGAAGAAGTTACGCTCTCGCGGGGAGGAGGCGAAGCGCTCCGCCTGGGTGTAGCATTCGGTGTCGTGTTTTCATCGTTTTCCCTGCCATCTTCGTTGATTGTGTTCATGATGTTGGTAGTGACACATGCTATCGTTTTCAACCTCGCATCTCCTTTTCCTGCCATTGTTAGTGGTGCAAACGAGGGAGAGATGTGCTTTTTTCTTTATGATCCAGAAAGAACTATAGTTTCAACTAGAAACCTTCCCACAGACGGCGCCAACTTATTTGAACAAATAATTGCTCAACCAATCGATAACAAGTTGATGGGGTGAATCTTAGTTGAGCTTAATAAATCCTAGATCAAATAGCATGAAAATCAGATATAACGAGAAGATCTCAGTAACATTAATCTGTGAACTTAATGCACTATGATTGACAGTGTATGTAATATCATAAATATGCAATAAATAGAAGAAAGATAATGGTTGTCGTAAAAAAGGGGGGTGCCTCCCAATGATTATATGATTGAGAGAGGAATCTTGAGATTTATGGATGAAAGTTAAATAACATGTGCTTGAGTGAAGCGAATAAGACAACTTTTTCGTATATTCCCTCTTCTCTTTTACAATCAGTTCTCTTCTCTTTCAAAATGGCAGATCCCCTCTTTATTTACTATCTCCTCCTATTTATAAGGGTTATTTCCCCCAAAAAACCTTAAAATGTACAACATAAAGAATATCCAAAAAGCATATTCTTCCTTTCCCCTTCTAAGTTTAAACTACCGATACTATCTTATTTCAGCTGCCCGCCTCTAGTCGTCGTCCTTTGCCGCAACGACCTTCAGTCGTTGTGTTATAGTGACTCCGTCCCATGTCTTGCTTATCCGTTGCCGTGGTTGCCAAAATTTGGACCAATAAAATGGCCACTTCCCTTCCACACATACAATATTATTTACTCAACAAAATTATATGGGGCCCGCTTGTAAGATATTCACCACAACTTATATCAGTGAAAATTACCCTTACCTGTTTTTTTCACAAAAAAAATATAAAACTAAAAGCACTTTATTTTTATTTTCTTATTAAATGCCGAATATATCATATCATCATATTCATACTATACTATAAATGTGAAGACCTTAAGTTAAAGTTAAAAGACTAAAATAGTCATGTAAAGCTGAATGATCATTTTGCCTTTCAACCAAACATTGCTTCAGAAACATTCTTGTACAAACATGTAAATCCACATTCTAATAAAAAAAACCATAAANAAAAGGATATTTATTTATAATAAATAGGGTGTAAAATTTTTCTATAGGAGGTAAAATTTCCCTTTTATTCCTCAAACATATAGAAAAATACACCATGTTGGGCCTCATGTGTAGTTTTAAGAGAGAGAGAAGGAAATGGCAGGCTTCACGGTATAATAAGAGTTTCCGTTTTCATTTCCATTAGGGTATGTTTGAAAAGTCACCAGGTAATTGGAATTGGTGTAATTACAAGGGTAGTAGTTACACAGTTGTGTAATTACGAAGACATGTTTGTTTGTCATAGTGTAATTACACTGTAATTACTAGTTTACTGTTTGGTTACACAAGTGTAATTACACAGTTAGATAAAATTTTAAATGAAGTAATTACCAAAACTTACAAATTAATATAATAAATATATGCCTATAAATTTTTATAAGTATAAATGATATTATATTTGGTATTTAAGATATATATTTTTCGTGAATATACATTAATTAGTAATCATATATTTATAACTAATATTGTAAAAATAATTTTTATATATTTTCTAAATTAATAATAATGTAGATACTTACAAAAACTAAAAACAAATGTTTTGTAAAATATCATGGAATTCATGTTTGATAAAATAAATTAATATTTATAAATATAATGTCATAATATTATTCAAATGAACAACATGCAATATGAGCCAATACTACTAAAACAAGTAAATTGGAACCATGAATATAACATAATTTTAAAATCCAAAAAAAATAGTTTAACATATGTCAAATTCCAACATAATATAGTAAGTTCCGCTACAACTTAAGATTAGGAAACATAATAAGTTTATAACCACATTCAACAACAAAATTCCACTTTAATTGCATCACTCATTATATACCAAGTTTTTTAATGACTCATTATTTCTAATATTAGGAGGTGTTGTTTCAAAAAGTTGAATAATAAGATAAATACAAAATAAAATATAAGCAATTTCAAGGAATCACTAGAAGTAAAGGTAGAGAAATAAAATATAAATAATGTACAAAGAAAATATATTTTAAAATTTCAAAAAAGAATTAAAAATTAAAAATAAAAAATAAAAATAAAAGGGAAATAAACTAAAAAGCAACCTGTTAATTACACTGTGTAAATACCACCAATTCTCATCTCCCCCGTGAGAATTGGAGAGTGTAATTACACCCCTCCTATTACACCCAATTCCACGCTGACCAAGTAATTATACTTGGCCAAACAAACATGTCAAACTGTAGAATTACACTCAATTACACCCAAATCCAATTCTTAGGTGGCTTTCCAAACAAGCTCTTATTTCACACAAAAGACTTCGCCAACTATCTTTTTCTCTTCCGATATCCGGGAAGAACTCGATCATCCACCCCCCACTTTGCCAATATTATGACTAATCCTTGTGCTTCATTTCACAAGATTTATTTTTGGGACTATATATAAAATATTGTTGAATCTTTATGGATTATAATTTAAATATTTTGCAATATTGATGATTTAATCAGGTAATTTTGGATATATTAATTTGACCAAATTTTGCTTCTTTGCAGGTACGTCAAATATAGAATACTTCGAAAAAAATATTCTCTGCAGAATAATATGAATCTATCGTAAATTTTGGGTTGTTGAATTAGGCGACGTTTACTTTCAAATACTACAATTCCAAAAATACTCTAAAGTCCCATAACTTGACGATTTTGTAAGCTCTTGATTATGATACATATACATTTATTTACTAGCATCTTTTGGGAAAATTTACCATTGTTAAAATATTTTTAATTAGTTGGTAAAATTTCCTTTAATATTTTTCGCAACATTATGAAGCACTTTGACAAGAAATTTCTTTTTTTAAAACTTCCACTTATTTGAATTCATCCATTAATCTTAATCGATACTAATATTAGGATTACATATAACTCAATATATATTTCCTACCGGTTCAAACTTCTACACGAAATACAAATCATATAGGTAAATTATAATATGGATCGGAATATCCAAAGGACTTGACATGTAGGGTAGGCTTTCTTCCTCTCTTGACTTAGCTAGGATGAATAATTTATTATTTCAGGAACTTATATTTAATTATTTTATAACTAATATTTAAGTTACTTTTAAATTTTATATTCATTGGTAAGGGGTACATGCACAATGTGCATGGCCAGAGACTAGGGGTGTCAATGGTTCGGTTCGACCGGTTATTTTATAAATTTTGTACCATACCAATTTTTCGGTTACTCCATTATGTATAACCAAAATTAGACTTTTGGAAACTGTCCCAATGATATTGGTTTCTCTTCTGTATCGGTACAATTGGGTTATTTTTCGATATTTTTTTAAAATGTCATGTAAAAGTTACTAGTAGAAGTAGAATGCAATAACATATGCTTTTATAGGACTTAGCAATATTCTCAAGAAATTTTTACATTTTAAAGGGTGATGAATTAAGAAATGAAAGATGGCTAGAGTATATATCCAACAATTAGCAAATTAATATAAAGAAAATATAAATCACACTAGTAGAAAGATATTAACCAAGCTGGGTCTGGGACTCAAGAATAAAGTCTATAGAAGATTAAATATTAAAAAAAATAATCTAAATCATACGAAAGAAAACATAATCAATACGTTGTAGTTTGCTACTCATAATCGCTACAATACCTTGTGTCTTGCTAGTGAATATGCTGGAAATAACTTAATTTCAATGGGAGTAGCAAATAGGTTTGAGAATTATGATTTTGATTTTATTACTTTTTGGCTTGTAATCGTTTTTATAATTCCAAGACCCAAGAAAAATTTAAATGTTAACTTAATATATAAATATATTTTTCACATGTAAATTTATTTGGTACGGTTCAGTATTTTTTCGGTTTATTTTCATAAAATAAAAAACCTACTCTAATTATCGATACGGTTATAGATTTATATAAAAACCTACGATTTTATTAAAAAACTTAAAAATCGGTTCGGAACGGTACGGTTCGACCAGTTTAGTCGATTTTTAAATCAATTGACACCCCTACCAGAGATTAGTCAAAGTAAAATGGAGGAAGTAACCATCTTTAATTTCAAGGCGATAGATCATGTCACGTGTCCTCAAAACGATAATAATTGCAATATTTAAAGCTTTTGGTGTATTTGACATATAAACATGTGTATGTTAACTATTTAAATTGTTCAAATAGTACTTAAGTTTGAGGGTTCACTCAAAATGAGCCATAGCCTATTATATTTATAAAACCCTCTACAGATTATTTTTGTCTTAAGATTTTGTGTATATAATACTTCTTGTTAATTATTTGAATTTTATGTTTGTTAACTTTTAAATAAAAATAAAAACAGTAATCAATTAGTTTTGTTGGCTCTTTAGAAACTTGTTTTTAGTTTTATGACCCTACCTCTTTTTTTTTTTTACACATGAAAAAATTATTTTTTACATGTAAGAGATCTGTCTTTTACACGTAAGAGATCTAAAAACTCATTTTCTTAAATTATAAATTGTAAAGGGACATGATGTACAAATAGCACCATTAAAATAGTGAGAAAATAGATAATTTAATTATTTACTATTCAATATTCTAGATGCATTTTAGGAATATCGAAGACCAATTGTTAATACTTACTGCTCACATTATATAATAAGGAACATTTCCAATGAAAATCAAAGTGCTTTTCCTCTATTTGTTGATAGGGGCAAGCTTTTGTTTTAAGCTTTTGTGACCAGTTGTGTCTCCGTATACGAAGAGATGGGCTTCCTCTTCCATGCCATCGAATTACCGAAATTCCTGACTGCGACATTCTTGGTTAGCGTTTGGAGCCATCTCAAATACATGGTCATTGCTGCCCTCACTCGCCTGGGTCTCTACAAACCTCCTCCTGAAGACGCCGCCGCCGACTCCAATAGCTACAACCCCAACAGTTACATTCTCCTGTTAGACGGCACTTGCCCTTCCCTCGTCACAGTTCCAATCGAGGTCGCCACCGCCGCCGTCAAGCTCAAGGTCCCCGTACTCCTCTACCGCGATTACCTCCTCCGCCGCCGCCGTGGAAACGAATTGGTGAAGGGATGCTCGATCTGCCTCGAATCCATGGAGCTGGAGGATGAGGTCAGAGAGCTCATCACCTGCACCCATGTCTTCCACAGAGGGTGTCTCGATACTTGGGTGAGCGACGGACACGTCACCTGTCCCTTGTGCAGATCTATGTTGCTTCCCCCTAAGTTAAGTTCTTTCCGATGTTGTCGAAATCCCGATACTCCGCCGCCGCCGTCGGACTTGACCGATCCCCCATTAGTTTCTAGTTCTGGTTAGTTGACTCTGTTGTTCATTGGATTCACATGCATCTACGGCGGACGATGCTCGTCTGCTTGTATTTCTACTGTAATTATATTCTTGGTTATATACTTATACATATGAATTCGTAAAACTAATTCCCGTTTCTTTCTCATTTCATTTTCTTAAATCTTAAAAAAAAAAACTTGGTTATATGCGCATCATATGAAAAGTATTCTGGTCAGTTTATCTGTACGTTAGATCATGTTAATTCAAAATATTAACTCTTTTTTATGTTAAGTATTACAAGTGGAAAATACAGACTACAATAAATACACTGGTTCTTATATACTAGTCGTATCCCTGTTTCGGATATTTATTGGTTGTGTTTTGATTAGTTGGTGCATACCTCGTTTAGTACATTGGGAATAATATTTCGTTCACAAGTACAATTAGTTAAGGTAATCATGGCCACCAAAGTTGGTCCAAATGAACATACACCAAGTGTTAAGTAGTTGGGATTACGGGTTAAACAAGTATCTTAAATGTCATGACCAGTGTAGATCATAGTAAATATATAGTAGTATAAATTCATATTTGATTAAAGTAAAAGTGTTTTCTTGAGGAGAATTTCAAAAAATTGAATTACAAATAATTAGTGATGCTGGATATAGATAGGAAGTGAAATGCATTGAAAAGACCAATCAACTCCATTATTGTTAGTTATAAAGCTAGTAACCTAAACACATGGACAAATTCAAGTTATAATAAAAGAAAATAACGGACAAACTGGTGGTTACATACTCAAGAGTCTAATTAATAACATTGTTTTGCTTTAGAGCAATGCAGATACAACGAACAAAGGCGATATAACTATCTATATTATTATTAGGGATAATTTCATAAAAGTACAATTGAACAAAATACATTTCAACCGCTTAGCCTAAAGCAATATCTTCATCGGACGGCCCAATAAATATTAACAATCAGTTCTGCTTCTCGCAATATGATATCATTCACATGGTATGATAAGATATTTTTTCAATCTCTCAAGGTTACAACTTTTCCCTCCCTCCCCCCCACATCCCCCGCATTCCCTCTCAAAACTTTTGTCTATGTCTTTGTTTCTTTTTCTTCCCCAACTTAAATACCTACAAATTATGTATTAAAATAAATAATTTCTCCTATTTTCTCTTTTTCTTATGGCAAAACATGATTTTTCAATTAAATATTCCAATCTGCGTACTCTTTTAAATGGTGAATCATTTGGGTTTTTACATATCAAATTGTTAATCAAATTTTAAATTAAAAGTGAAATTTTATGTGCAATTCCTGAAGCAATTCAACAAGATAAATATACACATTTATACATAATTATACATAAGTATACAATACTATATAACTGTATATGAACACTAGTTATACAATATTTTCAGTAGAAAACACATTGCGCCCAACACTACACTAACAGTAAACAATATAGCAACTTGTATAAACATGTATAATACTGTATAAGAGATATTTAATTCATATACATAATTATACATTATTATACAATGTCGATACAACTTCTACATGGTTATGATTTTTTATTCCAACTTCGAGTTGTTGCAGCATATATTACAACTTTATGCGAACGATTCCGAATTTAATACCCAGACAAGATACATCCAGTTTTAGATCCGAGACCTTAAAGTCGTAACAATGTTGATCCGAATTTCAAACTTCAACATCTTCCAAAATTAGTGGTTATTTCTCAGCGCAAATCAAGTTTGAGAGCTAAAGATTTCAGATCTGCGTGGGTTTTCATTTTTCTTTCAAAATCTTCAATTCTTCTTCTGCTTGCCACCATCGGACTTGGCAGACTTGGACGGCGGAGGAGGAGTCAGAGCCAGAATTGTGTAGAGGGTAAGGGGAGGAGGAATAATGGAGGCTAGGGTAAGAGAGAATGATGGGATCTGTTTGGGTTAGAAAGAAAGAAAAGAGATGTGGTTGGGAGAGAATTGGGTGCGTCGAAAATGAAGAAAAATAGAAAGAAAAAAACCTTTTAAGTGCTTTGGCTAACTGATGAAAACTATTTTAGAATGGGATTTTTACCTTCCTATGCCACATATGAAACTTTATTACCCTCAATGTTTAAGGTTTGAGATAATTACATTTAGTATACCAAATTACCATTTATATACCATAATTCAAATCAGTAATATAATTAATGGGGCATTTATATTAGGCATAATTATAGTACCGTATATTCCCACTTTCTCTTTCCTTTTATTTATATTAGGCATAATTATAGGACCGTATACTATTACTTAGAATTCAGATCTTTCCCATCAAAATAATTAGTGATCCGATACACCTTAAACCACTCAATTAGAAAGCTCCTTTCACATTTTTGCCTCATCATAAGTTTTATAACATCTAAGACATGACATGTTGTTGAACCATTTACTGAGGCCTTACAATCTAACAAATACACAATATAATCCTGTAAAACAACAGGAAAAAATACGTTAAACATAAAGAAGCAGATGGTATCTGATATCTCTTTTGTATATTCACTATTTTTTTAAATATTTTTTGACGCCTCATTGTCCATGGCCATATTTCCATACTTTCACAGTGTATATTTCCATACTTTCACAGTGTATATTTCCATACTTTCTCTCTTCTGCTATTCCATCTTGTCGCCTCTTTGCTCGCTTGCTAATAGGTGAGTTTTCTGTGTGTAAAGATACTGTTAAAAACAATACAGCTTTATACAATACTTAAACTGATTTGTAGTTTATTTGTAGTTTTTTTGAAGGAATTTTGTAGATGAAGAGAAACTTTTGTAGTCAATATTTTTTTCCAACATAGATTGTAGTTTAAATGTAATAATTTTGTAGATACCCTTAAAAGAAGACATATTGCAGAAATTGTAGATAAATTGTAGAAAAGACAATTTGTAGACTGTTTTTTGCAGAAGATTTTGTAGAAGTTTTAGTCGTTTTTTATTTGTGAAAACAGAAAACAAGGCCCCTACAATTAGAATACAAATAATCTACAATTTATCTACAAAAAAGCTACAAACTGGGTACATTGAATTTTTATATCCCAATTCCCATCCAATTGTAGAATAATTGTGATTTTTGACATAATTGCGTTTTTTCAGAAGTTTTGTAGAAGTTTTAGCCGTTTTTCTTTGTGAAAGAAGAAAATAAAGCATCTACAATCAGAATACAAATTTATCTACAATTTCTGCAATATGTCATATTCTTCTTCTTCTTCTTCTTCTTCTTCTTCTTCTTCTTCTTCTTCTTCTTCGAGTTTCAATCTGAAATTCAGTCAAAACCAAGTCTAATCTTCACCAAAACCCCTCAAAATTGAGATATAAACTCCAAATCATATTCCCGATTATTTTCAACAACACCCAATCCAAACAAATAATGATTTTTGAAAACCCAAATTTGAATTCAAAGCTTTCAAGCTTTTTAATGGCTATCAATGGTGGAAAATATCTGGAAGAATATTTACTTCCATAATGGCTTCCTAATTTTTCACAGGTGATTAAGGCAGAATTTTAATGTAGACTCAATCAATCGCAAGATTTTTTCCTGATTTTTAACGCGTTAATTATGGAAGATTCTGCCCAATTAATCGTGTATTAAACAAATGGTACAGAAATTGTAGGAAAAATATGGACTAGGCGGGTAATTTAGATACTATGCACATTTTTGGTAATAAGGTTTCATATATGGTATAGATAAGAAAAAATCCCTTTTATAATATATGTACAATCTGGGTTAAATCGGGTAAGGATCTAAAATATGGGCCTAATTTTGTTGATATGTTGGGTCAACTGACAATGAAAGTAATATAAAAGTGGGAACCTCAAAAGTTAAAAGTTGAATTACCAAAATATCCTTTTAATAATTTAAATATTATTTAATTAAAAACAATCTATCTATCTATATATTATAAAAGCACGAATAACTTTTGTTAAATGTTGGATGACTAAAATATCCTCGAAACTTTGATAGACTTTTATGCCCTTAAAAATTCGAGTTAGAGGTGGATGTAATTGTAATATTTCAAATATATTACCCAAGAATGAAATTCTTCCTAAATTAGAACTCCACATATACGGACATCAAATTCCCACTCTATCAATATCTAGAACTTTTAATACAACTTTAAATTGGTAAAGCTGAAAATATTTATGAATTTGGATAAAGTTACTATACTTTTCATTACGAAAAACAACCTGCATAAAAACTAATATTAAATATTATTTTTATTCTTTAACAGATTTATAAATTTATTTGTATCATTGTGTAATTCTAAACTGTTTAGTTCCTTTCTGTTATTTGACTATCACAACACAATTAATTATGATTTGGTTTGCTTTACATATATATAAAAACCTCTATTTTAAGCAACTCATATTCTAAATTTAACAATTATTTATGGTACGCGTTTATAATATTTGACACAAGATATTCGTGCAGCGCACGAGTATAGAGACTAGTATTATTATAAAAGTGGGAACCTCAAAAGTTAAAAGTTGAATTACCAAAATGTCCTTTAAATAATTTAAATATTATTTAATTAAAAACAAATAAAAAAAGAAAGAAACTAATATTTATAATAATTAAAAATAATTGAAAAAATATAATTCAAATGGTGTCTCTCTAAATAGTTGTGTTCTTTCATTAGTGACTACTATTAAAGATTAGCTATTCAAACCCCTCCCCCGCACACATGGAAAACACTTCCAGGTATTAAATTACACGGAGAACCACTTCCAATGGGATTACAAGCCAAGACACGATATTATTTGCCTTAGAAAAAATTGACCGTGAGTCTTCTGTTATTTGCTCCTTTATGAATTTACTCTACCGAATTATAATACAGATAAAAGTAGGTGATGTGATGGCACATCTATTTTTCATTCCATTAGTTAAGAAATTTTCAGTATTCTTCTATTTGGTCTCTTTGTTGTATGCCACATCTTATTTTGCATGTTTCTATCCTCAAAGAGATGATACATGAAACCTTATGAAAAATTGAGAAGTATTTTTCGCTACTAAGGCAAATAAATAACAAATGATTTTGGAGAATCAGAATTTCAATATGTCAAAAGTTCGATATTTATAAAAGATCGGGGATAATCGATCATAAAATTGTAAAAGA